CATATAAAACATTGTAACACCCCGGAATCGCAAGACGTAGAGTTGAAGGGCTAAAAGTGTAAGTTTCGGAGGGTGACTCGGCGAGTCCATGGATAGACTCGGCGAGTCAGGTCGCGGCTATGGTCGCGTGTCAAGTGGCCTACTCGGCGAGTCCCTAGGATGGACTCGGCGAGTAGGTGCTGTATGGAGAAAACCCTAATTTTCGGGGTTGAGCCCTATATAAAGAACATTATACCCCTCCACAGCCTCCCTTATCCCCCCTTGAGTTCCAGAAACCCTAAATTCGTGGAGAGATCATTGGTGGAGCAAATTAGAGCATGGAGAGGTGTTATTTGAAGAGATCTTGAAGGAGAAGTGGCTTGGATCAAAGGGCTTTGCTTGGATTCGAGTTTGGCTGCTATTGAGGCATCTTTTGGAGGTAATATCTTCGTCCTTAGGTTGTGCATTCCTAGTTTCATCATTTTGGGGTTGTGTGGGGTGCTTGGTTGTGTGACATTTTGATGTTGGAGGATGGATCTGAGGTTGCTACCTCAGATCTGGAGTGGAGAAGACCTTAAGAGCATTAAAGCCCCTATCCTTGTGTTGTTAATGAAGCTACCATGTCCCAAACCTTGGTTCTAAGGTGAATATGGCTTAGATCTCGTTAGATTCACGTAAAGTTTGCCACTTTACATGATGGATGGATTGTAGAAGGTTGGATCTATGTTTTGGATCAATTGCATGGCCTGAGATGCTTCTGTATGGATTCAGACCGGTGGTACTCGACGAGTCACATGGGTGGACTCGACGAGTTGCTTGAAGATGGCCTGGAACTCGACGAGTTGGAAGAACAACTCGGCGAGTAGGTTGAAGATGGCCTTGGACTCGACGAGTCCATTTGGACTCGGCGAGTCTTGTCGAGGAAGTCCCAATATTTCTGGTAGAGTCGATGAATCGGTGAGTCGAGGGATGACTCGGTGAGTTGGGTGCGAGTGGACTCAGAGTTGTTGCACTCGACGAGTCTTGGGGTGACTCGGCGAGTTGGGTCGCTAATTGAGGGAAGTTCTGAGCATAAGGACTCGGCGAGTCATCGGGTTGACTCGGCGAGTAGGGTCAGTCAGGGGTTGACTTTGACTTGTCCAAGGTTGACTAGTTGTCTTCCAGGGGTAGTTTGGTAATTAAGGGTATTTATTGAGTTGTATGTTTTGATGTTCAGTGGAGGAGTTTGTGTCAGAGTTCGGAGCAGCGGGATCTTATCTTTTCAGCCGTCAGTTTCGAGGTGAGTTATCCTCACTATATCAACAGGGTCTAAGGCACCAAGGCCGGCCCTTTATTGTATTGAGATTCGGTTATGGCTATTATGTTATTGTTTGATGTGTCTGCATCCTGGTAGCTAGGATGGTACATGCTAGGAGGCCTTGCTAAGGTCAGTTTTCCCGATATACAGAGTGATGCTATGCTAGTGACCGGTTAGGTCGGTAACCGGGTTAGGGTAATGATATGCTATGTGATCCGCTTGCTCGGTTTGTTGACTATGATTGTTATATGAATGTATGTTTGGTGCACATGGTTGTTTGGACTGGAGATGGGTTGATGCGGGTCCTGCTTTGTGCTGTAGGCCAAGATACCCAGGGCGGACCGGTTGTTCCGAAGGCCCAGTGAGCAGTCCGGATAGGCTGTAGGCCCCACAAGGGCGGACCAGACGTGCCGAGGCTCGGAGAGTGGACCAGGCCGACTGAAGGCCCGATGCAAGGCGGACCAGTCACACTGTAGACTCAGAGAGTGGACCAGGTGGGTTGAAGGCCCGATGCGGGCGGACCAACCCCACTGTAGACTCGAAGGACATGACTAGACCTGGAGGATGGATCCGATGGACTGAAGGCCCGATAGGGCGGACCAGTCACACAGTAGACCCGATATGCATGGCTGTTCTATGTCCTGTTATGTTATGTATGTTTTATATGTTTTGGACCGGAAGGTCGCAGCCTGGAAGGGCGTATACGTGGTTGGTATCTTGGGGGTATCTCACTAAGCTTTCGGGCTTACAGTTGTGGTTTAATGTTTTTCAGGTTCTTCAGGAGACTGTGGCAAGGCGAAGGCGCGATCGTACCGCTCCTCATGATTTTGTAGCAATGTGATTCTGGGAATACTTAAATGACTTGTATTGAAAACCTTTTTGTAAACATTTTAATGAAAATCGGGTTGTTTTGAAAAT